CATTTTCTACCTCACAGAGCTGCTGTGATGATAAAAAGAGATAATCCATGTAGAGTTCCTTGAACATAGCAAGTGCTCAGTGAATGGAGACCATTTTCATCTTTCATTTGACTTCCTGGTGTGCTTAGATGAGCAGCCTTCCCCCTCAGTGTTCAGTGAAGTGGGTGGTTCTTACGCAGTGAAAATGAGCATCTTTAGATAGTGCCACCCTTCAGGCAGCTGAGGCTTTCTAGACTCTTACCAGTGCTTTAGAGCGCAGTATAAAAGGTTCACTGCAAAAGCCACCATGTGCCTGGAGAACCACTGCTACCACAAATAAGGCACAACTTCATCTCAGATGGGACTATGTAACATTTGCTAATTTAAACTTCAAAACAACTCCTCTAGATTTTTATTTCACAACATTCAATATTTTTTGCATGTTTCAAACCTGACTTGGATTTGTGAGAAGCCCCAAAGGACTTTGTTAGGAAAAACAAACATTGGAGCAAACAAAAAGTAGACACTGCCATCTTGAAGCAACAGATGGCCATGTGCCAAGTAGTAACTGGAAATTAATTTTTCAAGTGCTGAAATGACACAAAATTAAGTGAGTCTGTGATAATCAGACAAATGCCCTTTTCTTAAATTTAAGCTTAAATTTACTCTTGTTCTTTTTGGTAGAAAAGAAGGCAAGTGTTTAATCCTCCCCTAAGAGTTATTAATAACTCAATGAATCAGTGAATTTCAAGGAGTTTGAGAATAAAAGTGTGGTAAAAAAGGGAAAGAAAACTGTGCCAGATGGCCTGAGTGGTAGGAGATCTCTGTGGAAGAAGAGGAAATATAATCTGAGGTTGCAGTGTTATTGTGTTTTCTTTAATAGATATCTTGAAATTGACCTGTGGGTTATGGTAAATAAGTATAGTTTTGGCACCTAGCTCCCTGAGATGATTTTGTCCCATTATGCTACAAGTGTTGGTTAGGATGTGCTTCTCTACTTTCTATTTTCACTTTTGATCTGTTACTCTGGGAATGTGCATGGATCTTTGGTTTGAAGATTTCAGATTCTCTTCCTCAGCATGTGTTCCTAGGGACAAGGCTAAAATCATACCCTACCACTATACCCTTGAGTTTGCCCCTAGTAACAAACTCAAGACTCTATCATTATAATAATACTGCTTCAATCAGTTAACCAGGTGCAACTAAGCCAACCAAGTCATTGACACATTACTCTCCTTAAGAGCATCAGACAGGATTTTTTGCTATATATTATAACTAAACTCTGGGCTCTCATCCCAGTATTCAGCAAATTTTTGCTTTGGTTTAGAATTTCTAAAAATGAAATCAGTCATCTCTGAAAAGTAGAGTGCTTTCAGGGTCATATCTTGGCATGGTGCCCACCCAATTCATAGTTTCCAGATAAAACTAAGGTGCTCATTTGGGCTTCAGAAATTCACAGCCCTGATTCTTTGAGGAAGGAGTAGGTATGAAAAACACTTGGGAGAAATGTATGGGTGGGTAACAAATAACTATAAACCAGCTGGTAGACATTTGATGAACTATTGTTCTAGGTAGGTTGAATCCTTAGAGGTTAAGTCACCACCTCTGATATTTTCTGGAAGTAGGTGGGGAGGAGATAAATAGTACATAAAATGAGTGGCAGAGGCAGAGTTTAAGCAAACACACAAAAGCAGCTAGAAACACTGAGAGCTGGGTAACACTTGTCACAGACAGTGGGAGAAACAGGAATAACATAATGATTAAGAGACAGGCAGGAGAAGCAGCAAAGCTGCCTAGATTTAGATCCTGCCATGACATTCAATAATGGACAAGTTAATTAACCACTTTTGGGCCTCACTTTCCTAATCTGTAAAATGGGCATAAAAACAGGACAGCTACTTTATGGAGTTATTGTAAACTTAAATGTGTTATTATATAGAAAATGACTCCAACACAGCTAAACACATGATAAGTGCTGTATATTATAGTTTCTGAGTTCTAAATGTTTCTAGAATGTTCAGCCAACTTTGGCTGCTATGCCAGTTTAGTTAGTGAGCAGCCATTATAGACAGCAATTCAAAGACAGGTGAAGGGAAAGCTTCTGTGAGTAAAGCTTCCAAATTCAGGTCACCGATTACCACCCACAAAGACTTGTTCTTCCACACACCCACATTTTGAGGGCAGGGGAGAGTGGGGAGTGTTTCCACATGGAAATTAAAGATTAAATTGCTTATTTCAGGAAAAGCAAAAATAAACAATATGGAGATACAATTGGGGCGGTCCCCACCTACTTCCTAGGAAGCTGGTATTGGCCCTTTGAGTAGTGCAGGGTCATATGGGTCTGGTTCTGTCACACACCTACTCTTTTCTATTCCACCATGTAACAAAGAACCAAGTCACCGTTCTTTGGTAACCGATAACTTTGATGAGTGCAACCCTTCATTTCCTAGTAACCGTTTCCTTCCTCATTACTAAACCCTACCAACCGAAGGCCTCTGAGCTCTTCCACTCTGACTCAAAACAAGAAGCCTATACGGCAAGCCTAACTCCATGAATCAGAGCTTTTCCAGTGTTTGTTAATAGGAAGGGAAGAATGCAGGTATGGCAACAGTAATCACAATATCTACGGCTTTGGAAACCTCTCAAACCAATTTCTAGTCACTCGTCATCTAAAGATTGTTCCTGAGGGGTAAAGCACCTTGATGTGAAGGTGGAAATGATGACACAGAGGCTGTTTTAAAATGCTTTCTTTCTGCTCCCCTTTATCCTATGCCCCACTCAGTCCCTTGGCCCACATGTGTTTCATCCCTCTGGATGGGGAAGAAAGAATTTGACACCAAATTCACATTATGGTGTTAGTAGTTATGGGTGTGACCTGTTTAGGTAGTATTTACAATTTGAAGGGAATCACAGCAAGGGTAAAAAATCTCTAGTGGTAGACACCCAAGCCTTGTGAATGAGATAAGCTAGATTGGAGGAGACCTTTCTCAGTTATCCCAATTAAACCATTTTCCTCACCCTGGTCATTCTCTAACCAACTATTTCTTTCTATTTTCTTCATAACCCTTATTACTATCTGAAGTTGAAGTGTTAATTTATATCTTTATTTGACAATTGTCTATCTATCTTATCAAGAATGTAATATAGTCCTGAATGGGTGGCTCAGTTGATTGGAGCACTATTCCATGCACCACAAGGTTGTGAGTTCAATTTCCAGTCAGGAAACATATCTAGGTTGGGGGTTCAATCCATGGTTGGGGCATGTAAGGGAGGCAACTGATCAATGTTTCTCTCTCACATTGATGCTTCTCTCTCTCCCCAAAATCAATAAAAATATATCCTTGGGTGAGGATTAAGGAAAAAAAGAATGTACCATACATGAGGATAGAGACTTGTCTGGTTTTTTTTTTCACTCCTGTATCCTTTAGGGCCCAGAATAGTGTCTGCCACATAGTGGGTGCTCAATAAATATTTGTGAAGTAAATAAAAGAATAATGAACTGAAATGATTTTTAAGCAAGTTCCCCTGAAAATAAATTGTTCACTTCCCCATAGGTTTTGATAACTTAGACCCCAAAAATTTTTGATGGGGCAAACAAGACTACCCTCTGTTCTTTCTGCAAACTAAATAGCACAGGGCTGTGGCAATGATAAGGAGTGCCAGTTATTTCATCACTGGCATCACTCAAGGGACTTTTGGCGAGAGGTAAGCTAGAGTATGGGCTGCGAGAGACTGGAGCACTCTCCTGAATATGCACATACCAGCTTGGGGCCGGAAGGGAACATTTTGCTTCTAATGTAATTGAAATGCTGAAGAAAAGTTTGAAAGATGAAAATAACATGTCTCCACATGACAACCCCACAGTTCTGAAAGTTCAAAGGTTTCCACTTCGTTAGATGTACATCTTCTAATGATCCCCCGCTCTCTATGGCCTTTACCTATAATAACCCTCATAACAGCAATGAGGTGTGTAGGTGGCAAGTATTATTAGGCCTATGTGCAGGTGGAGAAAGTGAGGCACAGCCAAGATGGGGTGAGGTGAATCAATTACCTAGCCTATTGTGTAATCCATTTAAGTCGCCATTCATTGAATGCTTACTTTGTGCCAGGCCTAATTCTTAAGCCATATCAACCAATAGCCCATGTTATTTCTCCCATTCCGATAGTCCTGGGCTTGCTTAGTTCAAGACTGAGAGAGGCTTCTCTGATAGCCTAAAAGCTGCACTTGAGCATCCAACCACAAATAAAGTTGGGACCACCAGAGCCCCTGAGGTGACACCCAGTGCTTACTAGTAAGAGTGGTGGGTTTCCTGTGCAGAATATAAGATTGGTTCGTGATCACAAGGCTCATTCTGGGGTTAGGAACTGTGCTTCCCCAGCATTATCTCTGTGGGTTTTCACAACCCTTGAAGTAGGAAGTATCTTCATTCCCCTTTTACAGATGAGGAAACTGCAGCTCACAGACATGCCCAACGTCACAAAACCTAATAAGTAGCAGAAATACTTGAACATGAATCACCTGATTTCGGAGGCAATCTTAAGGCATCTGTGTTTCCACCTGAAGCCATGCCAACCACTATACTACAGCATTTGGGTAGAGCATTGGGAATCTGTCATCCTACACAAACAAGAAAACTCATTCAGCTAGAGCCCCACACAATCACCATCGACATCAATGGCTACATCAACAGTGAAAGCACTAAGTAAATGTGGAGTAAATGCATAAATAATGCTGGTAATGAAGCCATTTAATGTTGCAAAAAACGTGACCACATGTTTAGAGTCTTCTGTTGGGAAGTAACATTTTAGAAATATTTCTATCCAACAACACTATAATTTATAAGTTCTCACACATATATGGAAAATGGGGTTCTCTAAAAATAGTTTTTCCCTGTTGGTTCTGGATAGCTGGGCTTACTTGCTTCTACTATCCTTGTTTCACACACAGTGACTAGGCAGCAGTAAGTTGCAGTCATGATGAGCATAGGCTCTGAAGTCAGACTGCCTGGGTTCTAATCTTGGCTCTACCACTTGTTAACACTAATCTTAAGCAAGTTGCTTCATTTTTGTGTACCTCCATTTCTTCATCTATTGCGTGGATTATATAAGTTATTATTGGTAAAGCATTTAAAACAGAAGCTGGCATGTAGCAAATAACATAAGTTATTATGCTGCTCCAAGTAAGAAATCCTGTGAGGAAAAATTGGCTTGTGAATAGGCCATCAAATAGACAAAATAGAAGCAACAAGTTAAAAGGTTAAACCTGCAAGTTAAAAATTCTGTGCACCAAATATTTCTCTTTCCTCTTTTCACAGTTTATGAAAACAGTCAGATTGTGGCCCACCGAAGCCACATTCTGTGACCACCAAAACTCAGAATTGCCCACCTCTGTCTTCTAGTAACTCTGCATAGGTGACTAAGCACTCACTTCCTGATTCCCCCTTAGTATTCTAAACCCACGACTTGCCTGAACCACAACAATGGGTGACATTGGCAGTGTATATTGGGTGGCCGCACTCACTCTTTCCTCCGGCAGCTCTCTCCTCCAATTCTCCCAGATACTTGGTACCCTTAAACTGACCCTGGCTGGGCAAGGTTCCCTTAAACTACTAGCTTAAGGCTCCAGACCTTCCCCAAATGGGATTCCAATTGAGCAAAACCTATATCCCCAGTGGCTAGTTAGATTAAAATAGCCTTATTCATCACTCACAAAACAAATAAGCTCCAACTAAAATAGCTTTCTAGTCTTTGTTAGTGATCTGCAAGACTGACCCAGGACAATTTTGTAATCACTAAATTATTTTTTTCCATCCCCCTCATGATGTCCTCTCTCCTCTTGTTAGGCCACCCTTGAAAAAATAGATGACCTCTATTTTTTTCAAAGTCAACCATAGCAAACCACATTGTAGGAACATTTGAATAGGAAGTTTATAACATCTCTATGTTCTCACTGGTGAAATGCTTGATGCCTTTATATCTTTTCAATTTCTGAGATAATCTCTTGCTACTTTGCCCCTTACAGTTCAAAGATTTGGGGAACTTTATATTAGAAAGCTCCAAAAGATTAATAAAAAGGGCATGTTTGTCTTTTTCTTGATTAAGAAGAACACATTTTGATCAGTAAAATATATCAATTCATGCATGTGGAGAATTTTAATGAAATATTTATCTATCCTTATGAAACGTTAGAATTCATGCAAATAAAAGTATATGGCACATGATTTTATTATTGAATTGATGGAATTTCCTTCCTGATATTTGAGTTCTGTTACTTAACAAACATTTTTCACTTCACTAGGTAGTCCTTTACTTAGGCTTGTTTCCACTCTTCTGTTCCTCTCCACTCCTTATCATTCACCATCAGTTGCTCATCCTTATTTATCATAGAAATAAACAAAGACAACATGTCATGGGTTGAATTACATTCCTCAACATTCATATTTTGAAGCCCTAACCCCCAGTACTCATAATATGATTATATTTGGAGATATGGTCTTTATAGGAGTAATTAAGTTATAAGAGATCATTAGGGTGGGCCCTAATCCAATATGACTGAGAAACCTTGCTTCTTAAACTTGTTCCCAAGGACCTTAGGCAAATTATCTAACCCCTCATGGCCTCTTTTTCTTTAACTGTAAAATAAATGAGTTGTACCTTAGCAGGAAGGGTTTCTCAAGTTTGGATCAGCATGAACCAGCTGCAGCACAATCATCTGGGACACTTGTTACTGATAGAATCCTGGGCCCTAACTCAGACCCACTGAATCAGAATCTCCTGTGTTGGGGTCTTGAAACTTGCATTTAAAAATATATTTTTTAAAAAAATTTATTACAGGGAAGAAGGGAGAGAGAGAGATAGATAGAAACATCAATGATGAGAGAGAATCATTGATCGGCTTCCTCCTGCACGCCCCCTACTGGGATGAGCCTGTAACCCAGACATGTGCCCTGACCAGGAATTGAACAGTTCATAGATAGACGCTCAACCATTGAGCCATACCAGCCAAGCTGAAACTTGCATTTTAACAAATTTCATAGTTCCAAGGTCTCTTTAAACTCAACATTTCATGAATCAGTGACCTGTTATACACTTTGCCTTATCTCCATCATCTGTTTAGAAATAGGAACAGACTGATAGATCTTAGAGTGGAGGGGAATGGGGACACTGAAAGAGATTAATCAAAGAACATATATGCATATATGCATAGCTCATGGACACAGACAAGAGTATGGTTAAAGGCTAGGATGGGGTGGGGTGGGGGCTGGGTGCAGGGCAACAAAGAGGAGAAAATAGGGGACATCTATAATAGTGTCAACAATAAGAAATAGGACACATTCTCACCTGATCCCCATGCTATTCTTAGCTTCTGGTTTGATCCTTAGTGTAGCTATAGAAGCCATATTTCTTCTTCCAGTAAAGGATGGCCTATAGCAAGGGGAAAAGCAAAAATAAAGGTTTGATGAGAAATAATTTTGAAACTACTAGCTTACCATAAACTTTTGATATTGTGTAGCTTTTAATTTTCCAGAACTTGTTTATCCCTCATGAACACAAATAATCTGTAGGTAGCCTCATTAAAAATTTCCTTGAACTGGTTCCTTTGACCAAAAAAACAATAGAAAGAAGGGTAGATTCACTAATCATTTGAGTTCTACCCAATATTGCATAATTATCTTGCATATCAGTATTTTGGCCTTTCCTGCTAAAGGTCTTTCCTTGGGTTTGCAAGCAGGAGTTTGAGAAGAATCCTGGTACTGACTGAGCTTTCTTGGTAATGTCACAAAATTTCCAACCACAAAGTCAATCTCCATTTGAGTCAGAGCAATTAGAAGAAGACTAATGACTGTGGACAAAAGTACTGAAATATTTTATTGAGGAAGCAATAGGCAATTTGAATGGGAAAATGTCTTTTTACAATGGTGAGGCATATCCAAAATATATTCTTAAAAAGAGGAGAAAATATGATTATGAAAGACCCCCTCTCACAGACTGTAGGGAATGACATTGAAGTGTCCTTCTATAACATTTGTTTTCCACAATCTTTCCATAACTCAAAGTTTAAACCTTGATTTCCAGATGATCTGGCACTGCCCACATTCCAGTGCCTGGTTTAGTGTGTCAGGGAAACAAGTTTATTTCAGTCAGTCTAGGATACTATTTATCAAAGACAAAAGTAAATTCACAAGCACATGTGATCTTGGGCTCAGTGTAAAAACATACTGTGGAGTTAAGTAGAAAAGTCATTTTTACAAAGCTGAGTGTTGGCTAAAAGAGGGTACCCTATTTAGAAGTCAAAATAGCTAGAGCCTCTATGTTCAAATGGTTCTTTTCACTTGAGAATACATTGGTGTTGGTAGCTTTTTATTTCCTGAGCATTGGCGGCCAGTGATGAAGAGTTCCTTGTATCAAGATAATGCTCTTTTCATGGAATCCAGGATAATGAGAGCCCATACTTAAAAAAGAGGCTCACAATGTAAATTATTTGGATTGATAATACTGTGTAGATCAACAAACACAAATTATAGATATGAAAATTTCTAAACATTTACTGGTGTCTAAGTAAAACTTAGGGTTGGAAGTTTTTAGCAATGTGACAAAATGCAATAACCTTTATCAGGACTATAGAATTTGGGTGACACCTCCATCAGCTAAACCACTTATAGTCAGAAAGATTCTGCTTCTCGAAGACAGCTCTAGTGGTGGTGTTGGGGTGTATCGAGGGTAGAGGGGTTGAACAAAAAAGAAAAAAAGAGAGAGAAATTATGGACATGGACAACAGTGTGGTGATTGCCAGGGGGAGGGGATACAGGGGTGGGTGAAGTGGAAGCAGGTAAAGAAAGGATAAATGGTGATGGAAAAAATTAAATTAAATTAAAAAGAAAGAAAGATTCTGCTTCTCATCAGATGATTTAATTTGATGTCCTTTAAGACGCTAGAATCTTCTCACTTGGTTACCACGGAGGTAGGGTGCAAACCCATCAGGGCACACTCTCAATCAAACCAACCAACCAGATTTAAAGGATGTGGGAGAGGCCTCTAGATATGCAACCCCCACATCAAGGCCACTGAAACACCTCTAGCTAGGAGTAGGTCATATAGGTGCCAATATAGAATATGATTTTGAGGGTGGTAGACTTGTATCACTGAAAATGACTCATGCATTTGCACCCATACGTACTTCAGTACTCATGGAGGTGTACCTGTTTAGAAAGTCCTGAACTTCACGCCACTCATGCTTTATGGCTCCAACTTAAGGGTCTTTGAAGAAATTACTATCTCCACTAGAAAAAAATAAAAGCTCTTTGAGGGCAGTAGCCACGTCATAAAACTCTTTACCCTGTGCCGATTGCAGAGAAATAGGAGAAAACCCACAATCTCCCAGTGATGCAATGCTATTAAAAAGAAGCATTCTATTATGTTGCTTTTGAAAATGTGGTTATTAAAATTTGGAGCAACATAGAACAATGCTTGTTAGAAAAGGCTAAGTGAAGATATATATGTGAGGGGATGGAAGTGTTAACTAGATGAGGGAGTCCTTTCACAAGGTAGTGGAACCTCGGTTCTTGAACTTAATGCGTTCTGGAATGCTGTTTGAGAAGCAATTTGTTAAAAAACCGAATCATTTTTCCCCAGTAGACATAGTGTAAATTGAACTAATCTGTTCCAGTCCCCCAAATTATTCTGTTTTAACCTTTCGTATATACAGTATATGTCTAATGCACTGATTAATGTATAAATAAATATTTCTTTTCTTAAATTTATTGAGCCACCCCTACTAGCTTTAAACAAATCACTTTCAACAATCTTTACAGGGGTGTCTTTCAGGTCAGATGCAGCATCTTTGCTTGTTCATATATCACTACCTCTGAAATGTCTGTCACTGCTAACTGCTTTTCCTTTATCCAAATCAACTACAGTTTTTCTACCTCTTCAATTGTCTGTGATCCTTGTTTCTTTCACATCCTTAGCAACATTAGCACTCTTGATGGCCTATTTATGCTTTAAAATTGTGTTAATTAAGATTTCACCAGTAACAAAAACATTCTTTCCTTTGTTTGTTGCCTGAGAGAAGTTTTTTGTCATGCTGAGGTGTCATCATGAAATGGTTGTCAGGTTAAAAACCAAAGTTTGTTTAGACAACCAAGACATTTATTCTGTAAACAATTTTGTCAAGAACGGAATTGTTTGAGATGTTCAAGAAATGAGGTTTGACTGTATATGTACACATCACAATGTACACTTTAAATATCTTACTATTTTATTTGCCAATTATACCTCAATAAAGCTGAAAAAGGTAAGTAAAAAAAGCAGGTTATAACCATATAGATTCTATAATTACAGCTAAGAAAAACTTTAAAGAAAAAACTAGAAGGAAATATAATAACAACAGTTATGCTAGAAAGTTAGGTTAATGAGTACTTTTATTCCTTTTATCTTTCTTTCTTTCTTGGCAATATCATTACATAATACTTTTTCAGAATTTAATTTAAAAGAGGATTTATGTCAAGTTATTATAAAGTTAAGTTCCTAGGTTGAAAGCATGAGTTGATTTTTTCCCTTATGGAACCCAATCTTCTAGAAACAGAGAATCTCAATGGGGTGAGCAATTCTTTGTTCTAAAAAAGGTTGCCTAGGAGAGGGGTTCAGTTGGGCTTTTGGCTCTGAATGAGTAGGCCTGGAGAAACTCTGAGTCACCTCAGGACAAGAGCCATCAAATTCATTTCTGTCTGTTCCTCTAAATTGAGACCATGGTGCATCCCATTCTTATGTGTGCCTACCAGGATAGTTTCATAAAACTGAGCCTCAAGGAGGAAGATAAGTAACAGCTGGAAGGCCCTGATTTGAGCTTGATGTGTATGGGTCTGAAGTAGGGAAAAGGGAAAGGGAGAAAGCTGGCTAGGATTTGCCACTTAGAGCTTTCCCTGGTCCCCACAGATCATCAACTAAATCACCAGGCTCACCAAAATATTTTTGTGGGGGCTGCTTACTAAAATAACCAAAAAAATCTTATAAATAGATATTTGAATTAATCCAGCAATTGTTTATTAGAAAATGGGGAGTGAAGGGCACCAAAGAAACTTAATACTTAGTGTTTGTTGAGGAGACAAGAATCAGTTAAGTACCATGCCTGGTGCTACATAATTAAGTGCCACATGAATGAAAGAGAACTCCAAGGCTACCAGAACAACATCCAATTTCTCTGCCACTCTCTGGGCTCTGGAGCTGTTTTCATTTGTTTATTAGGTTTGGTATTTGATAGTTATGGAATGTGCCTCTGAGAGCCAGTGATAACATCATTTTATTTATAAAATCAGTTCCTAATAGGAACAAATTTGGAAATAATTTAAATGGGAAAATGTTCACCCCACACACAATGTTCAAGGGAAAAGTGGGTGATATACTAAGTATGAATCCAGTGATGCATAATGTATGCACATATATTTCTTTATTAACAGAGAGAGCATGCAAGCCAGTAAGCCTAGAAGGAAATACTCCAAAAATGTTATCAGTGGTTATCTTTGAGTTGTGGGTGCTTTTTGTTTCCTTCTTTATATTTTTCTGCATTTTAAAGTTTCCCACAATGAACACTTATCACTCTTCTCATCAGAAAACCAGAGCTCCATCAGGCACTGGTGGGTGAAGTATTCTAAAATGTAGAGCTCTCCGTGAAAATAATAAAACAGGTTTAAGAACAATTTAAAAGAAAACCTTAGATAATAGAAAACGAGTTCTTAATAGAAATTAAGCCTCTGTGATGTAAACTTATTTCCACTGACATCCAGGGCGGCAGTCATACCTCCCCATACACCTGCCTTAATATCTCAGAATCATGATATGTCTCCCAGGGTCTGAGCAAGCAGGAACTGAATAAATACTGTGTGCCCAGCATTGCCCTGGGTGTAATAAGGCTGTACAGTTCTCTCTTCTTTGTTGTGAGTGAGCTCAACACCCATTAGTTACAGGAGAAATTTGGATTTTTATCTGGCCATGTTCCCTCCAGCATCTCCTACTGTAGCAAGAGCCATCATAGGATAGAGGTTAAAAGCACAAACAGGAGTCAAACAGATTTATATTTTCATCTGTTTTGTGCTTCTTATTAGCTTGGCCAAGTTACTTGACCCTTCCCAGATTCAAGTCTACCTCACAAGCTGCTGCTGGGAGCTTCCGATGAAATAAAGTATATCAAATCTTTAACATGAACTAGGCATATAATAAGTCCCATCCTGTTTACTTCCCAGTCTCACCCAAAGTTCTGAATTATTGCAATAGTTTACCATGTGTCAAACAGGAAAGAATTGCAAAAATATATTTATACAAGGCATTGGGTGGATAAAGGGAATGGCAATGTGGAATGCAGTAAAAATATTTGATGCCATTTCTTAGCAATACACAAGAAGCACAGATTTGTCTATGTATTAAGAAAGGGCCAAATTGTGTGGTAAGACAATCAAGTTGCCATAGAAATTTAGATAAAAGAGAGAACCCTATGGGCCTCCCTGGAGAAAGCACAGCTGGGGTAAGTCGTGAAGGGGGTGTGAAGGGAGAGAAAGGTATTGCAAGTGAGGTGAATGAAAAGGAGAGCTTAATGGAGGCAATAAAGATGTTGGGCTCTTGGCCTAAATTAGTACCTTGCTTACAGCAGTAGTTTCTGGGTAGAATGTAAGAACATCAAAGTCCCTCAGGAAAAATTTTATGGTTCGAACCCCTCAGTTTCCATCTATAAGAAACTGAGACCCAAAAAAGGAAGGTCACATGGTCACACAGCTGGTCAGAAACAGCCAGAAATAGAACCTTGGTCTTCTGACCCCCAGCGCCCAATGATGTGGCACAAGACTGGGAGAGCCTAAGGACAGGGTTCCTTCCTTAGTCGAAACTAGGTAGGAGTGACAAGTTTGGAGCATGACTACTAAAGGGAATGTCTTGAATTAATGGTGGTAATGGTTGCACAATTCTATGAATATACTAAAAACCATTGAACTATACACTTTAATGCATGAATTATGTTGTATGGGTATTATATCTCGAGAAAGGTATTATAGAAAAACTAAAGCTGAATCCCTAAGGCCAATCCTGAGTCCTGGCCCAGAACATAGGCTCAATTGCTGGGAGAGAAATGGGGCAGGTGAATGGCAGGACAATAGAGTGATATACAGTTCAGAGCCAGCCGTGGGCAAACTATGGCCCGCGGGCTGGATCCGGCCCGTTTGAAATGAATAAAACTAAAAAAAAAAAAAGACCGTACCCTTTTATGTAATGATGTTTACTTTGAATTTATATTAGTTCACACAAACACTCCATCCATGCTTTTGTTCTGGCCCTCTGGTCCAGTTTAAGAACCCATTGTGGCCCTCGAGTCAAAAAGTTTGCCCACCCCTGGTTCAGACCATTTAGCAACTACAAAACTTCATACACACCAAACAAAAAAGCCTGGGTGCTTTTGAAGTGAGGTCTCAAATTTATTCTCTGAAGTTCTTAAGTTTGGCCTTAGATGCAATTTCTCCCCCTCCTTTTCTCACTCAGGATGCCCTTGATCTCTTCATAAACAGTTGAGATCAGATGGTTCTCCTTTGTTAGGAGTGCCAGGTGTTAGGTTCCGGGTGTTGGCAAGGAGCTAGGTGGGTGTGTAGAGACCCTGTGGTTTGAGAACTGTTCGGACCAGCAGAGGCCCCAGACAGCTCCTCCATCACCTCTGGTAGTCAAGTAGGGGTTCAGGCTTGATGCTCACCTGGGTTATATTCTTTACAATTTTTCCAGAACCTTTTGTGAAGTTGTTAGAGCTCCCTCAGCTTCTTGAACATAGTGGTGAAGCATTTTGCTAATCAAAATATGAAGTTATTTTTTCTTAGTTATTTTTCATTCATTCATCTGTTCATTAATTTCACAAAATAGAAGTGGCCCCTGCCCATGTGAACTTTCTTATCAAGTGGGAGAAAGATTAATCAACTAATCACTGTAGACAGAATTCTAAGATGGTCTCCAAGATTCCTACATCCTGGTGTTCATGCCTTATATAATCCCCTCCCCTGGCATGTGGGCAGAACTGTGATTATAATGGAATCTCATTCCCATGATTAGGTTATATTATACTGTAAAGGTGAAGGGATTTTGCAGATTGAAATAAGGTCTCAACTCAGTTGGCTTTGAGTTATTCAAAAGGGAGATGATCTTACTGGACCTGAATTAGTCAGTCAGTGAAAGAAATTGTTAAGATGACAATTGGGACAAATGCTACAGAAGGGAAATGCATACTGCTATGAAGGACTACAACAGGGATATTTGAAATAATAATAGCTAACACTCAACATTTTTCCACATGCTATTCCTGGTGCCTTGTTTAGATCTTACACTAGCCCAGCGGTTCTCAACCTGTGGGTAGCGACCACTTTGGCGGTCAAACGACCCTTTCACAGGGGTCGCCTAAGACCATCCTGCATATCAGATATTTACATTACGATTCATAACAGTAGCAACATTACAGTTATGAAGTAGCAACGAAAATAATTTTATGGTTGGGGGTCACCACAACATGAGAACTGTATTAAAGGGTCGCGGCATTAGGAAGGTTGAGAACCACTGGTAGGCTGTTCTCAATGATGGGTGTTCTGTAGTTTAGTTGTAATTTTGATGTGGTCATGGGAGGAGGTGAGTACAGCATTTACCTACTCGTACACCATCGTGACCAGAAGTCTACCTTGGCATTCTTAACAGGTCTAAGGAAGCCAGGGACAGGAGGAGGGGGATTTGTTTGGGGGTGAAGGAGGAAGGGAAACAGGTGAGTTCAGTGTCCATAGTATATGATAGGGGGCAAGCTGGGCTGAGGGACCCCCCCTCCAGTGCACAAATTTTTGTGCACCGTGCCTCTAGTAAGGTTATAAAGTACAGCATAGAAAATAAAGTCAATAATCCTATCTAATAATAGATAAAGATTGAAATTGACCGTACCTTTGCTATGCCTCCCATTGGCTAATCAATGAGATATGCAAATTAACCGCCAACAAAGATGACGGCTAATTTGCATACTGCAGGCAGATCCTGCTGCACCACCCCAGCACGAGATCCTGGCCTGCCGTGTGCGGGGAGGGGCAGGTGGGGCTGGCAGGGCAGGCGGCAGCGTGATCCGAGTTGCTGTCTGTCTTGGGAGGGGTGGGCGGGGCGGGCAGGGCGGGCAGGGCAAGCGGCAGCGTGATCTGTGAGAGGGCACAGGTTGGGCTGAGGGACCCCTCTCCTCTGCCAGTGCACAAATTTTTGTGCACGGGCCTTCTAGTATTAAAATAATTGTATGTGGTACAAGGGGGAACACTTAGTAACTTATAAGATTGTCTAACCACTATGCTATATATGTGAAACTAATCTATAATAATAAAGGTATAATATGCTAATTAGACCAGACAGGCGAACGACCTTCTGAACAACCTTCCAGACGAAGCCAGGGCTGCGAGGGCTGAGCCCCTTGCATGAATTTTGTGCATTGGGCCTCTAGTATAAAATAATATTAAATGTAAACTATAATTGAAAAAAATTTAAATAAAAAATTGTAAAATATTTTTTAAAAGTTGATTTCAAAAACAAATGACTATATATATATATATACATATTTACACATATACATATATATAACAATTTGTGTAGAGGTAGTAAAAATATTTGTAACTTTGAGTGAAATGACTACTGCACCATTTTGAAATTCTAGCTAACCCATGAAGTCACATGTGGAAACCGCTAAAGTTTATTCTAATGTGTAACTAGAGCTAGGAACTATTGGGTTAATACAACCAATGAAGCCAATAGGTAAGTCTTCTTTTATGAGGGTCTAGAAATTAGCATGAAGGGAATGATCAGGAAGAGTGTTAATGAATAAACACAAGCTAAACAGCAGTAGAAAGACTCTACATCCACTGGTACAAATGGAAAAAAAAAAACATCAGGAAGACAGAAACATGATAATACAATATATCACTTCCCTTTGTGTGTTCCATACAGTGTTTATGTGTTACACAGGTGAGTAAATAAGGCAGGAATCGGGTATTGTGTGATAGCACTTTACATATATATTACTGAATTCTCATGACACTGAGAAGTATTTCTTATTATCTCTATTTAAAATATTAGAAAACTGAGACACAAAGAGTATGTGACATACCCAAGGTTATAGAGATAGTAAGACTGAAATATAAGTTTATCTTACAAATGAAGAATGCCACTAATTTTCTTCTACTAAAAGCATTATCAGAAATTAATGTTGAAATTTTTTGCCATTTAAAACAATACTGTTCTTTCTTTGTTCTGTTACTACTGTGAGTTTTATTTTCTAATATTAAACCATTCTTACGTTACTTGAATGGCACTGGTTATACATTAGAATAACTTTTAGCGGTTTCCACATGTGACTCTAGATTCCATTTACTAATATATTACTTAGCATAGTTTCAATAAATGTTTATGTCTGAGACTGATAGGCAGTTTACTTTTTCATGCTCTTTGTCAGGTTTTTAGATTTTATTTATATTATCATGAGAACACCTAACTAACATGAGATTTACTATCTCAACAAAATTTAAAGTGTATGATACTATTGTGAGTATAGGTACAATTTTGTACAACAGATCTCTAAAGCTTATTTATCATGCTTAACTGAAACTTTATGACCATTGATTAGTAACTCCACATTTTCCCCTCCCCCAGTTCCTGGAAAATAATTCCACTCTTTGGTTCTATGAATTTGACTGTTTTAGATGCCTTATATAAGTGGAATCATGCAGTATTTGTCTGTCTTTCTGTGACTGGCTTATTTCACTTAGCATAATTTCCTCAAGGTTCATCCTTGTTCCATATTGCAGAACTTCCTTTTTAAGGCTGCATAGTGTTCCATTGTATATATACAGCACATTTTCTTTATCTAACTATCTGTCAATAGACATTTAAGTTGTTTCCACATCTTGGCTATTGCTGCAATGAACATAAAAGTACTATCTTTTTGAGATTCTGATTTCAATTCTCCTGGATAAATAAATACCCAGATGTGGGACTGCTGGATCATATAGTAGTTCTATTTTTTATTTTGGTGGGAACTTCCATATTCTTTTCCATAGTGGCTACACCATTTTTGCATTCTTATCTACATGTGTGAGAGTTTCAGTTCCTCCACATCCTCATCAACACTGGTTGTCTTCTGGTTTTTTGGTATTAGCAACCATGACAGGTGTGAGGTGATATATCATTGTGGTTTTGATTTGCGTTTTTCTGAAGATTGAACATTTTTATATACCTACCAGCCATTTGTATGTCTTTTTTGGAGCATTGTCTATTTAAATCCTAAGCCCATTTTTAATTGGGTAGTTGGGTGGGTTTTTCCTTTGTTTTGTTAGGGTTTTTTTTAACTATTGAATTGTAGAAGTTCCTTGTGTGTTTTGGAGACAAGCTCCTTATCAGATTTATGGTTTGCAAATATTTTCTTCCATTCTATAGGATGCCTTTGCATTCTGCTTAGTGTTTCCTTTGTTGTACAGAAGCTTTTTAATTTGATATAGTCCTACTTGTTTATTGTTGTTTTTTCAAAAATATAAGTTTATTGATTTCAGAGAGGAAGGGAGAGAGAGAGAGAGAGAGAAACATCAATGATGAGAGAGAATCATTGATTGGCTGCCTCCTGCACGCCCCTTACTAGGGATCGAATCCACAACCAGGGCATATGCCCTTGACCAGAATCGAATCTGGGACCCTTCAGTCCACAGGTCGACGCTCTCTCTATCCACTGAGCAAAACCAGCTAGGGCTTGTTTTTGTTGACTCTGCTTTTGGTGTCATATCCATGAAATCATTACCAAGATTTCATGAAGCGTTCCCCCTATATGTTCTTCTAGGTTTATAGTTTCAGATCTTATATTTAAGTCTCAAATCCATTTTGAGTTGATTTTTGTAAATGGAGTAATATAAGGATTCAATTTCATTATTTTTAATGTGGATATCCAGTTTTCCCAGCATCATTTGTTGAAGAGACTATCCTTTCCCTGTTGTGTATTCTTGGAATCCTTGTCAAGGATCAGTTGACAGTATATACGTGGATTTATTTCTGAGCAGTCCATTCAGTTTCATTGATCTGTATGTCTGTACTTATGCAGTACCATTCTGTTTTGATTACTGTAGCTTTGTAATATATTTTGAAATCAGGAAGTGTGAGATCTCCAGCTTTGTTCTTCTTTTTTTTAATTAAATATTTATTGTTCAGATTATTACAGTTGTTCCTCTTTTT